GTTATAATATGGCGGTACCTTTGATGTTGGAAATATGCTTAGCTATGCGTCTGGTAACTGATGATAAAATTCTTAGAAATTATGCCATAACGACAGACATTGTCTTTGTTCTCATAAAAAAATTACAGACGCTTATGAGCGTTATAATACAGTACTGATGTCGGAAATATGCTTACCTAAGCGTCTGGTAGGCAATGATAACATTCATAGAAAACATTGTTTAAGTTGGATTCATACCCACCCATTATAGGTTAGTTTATGTTATGTTTCGTTACCCCTCCCTCTGTAGGAATTTCGACGGAGACATAGCGTTAATATTAAGTAAATATGTTAAAATGGCAACGGCGCCCATTATTTGACGTACTTATTTCAATGTAATGTGTATGTTTATCAGTGAACGTTATCAGTTCACATGAGGTTTACCTTACCCTCCAGTAGATGACATCGAAAGAGGAGACAACCATATAGCTACCTCCCTCACCACTGACATGAAGTTATAGTGCGCATGCGCACTTTAATCCGCCATTTTGATTGAAATTAACATCCCTAACTAAGTCATCTATTACCCCTACCATCGTTAGACCACGCCTCCCCTAACCCCACCATCATAAGACCACGCCTTTTCCTTACCCCATCATTGATAAGACCGCGCCTCCACTTACCCCCACCCACATAAGACCACGCCTTCATTACACTATCTATGATAAGAACACGCCTTCTCCTTACCCCCACCCTCATAAATCCAATCCTCCATTACCCTCACCATCGAGTGACCACGCCCTCTGTGTGACCTTGACATTACCCCCATCATGGAGAAACCACGCCCACTATATGACCTTGACAACAGCCATTACCCCCACCATCGCGAAACCACGCCCACTATGACACGCCCCTCCCCCGCCCGCCCACAATTCAGGTGGGTGGGTGAGGNTGAACTGAAAATATTCTTATCAAAGATATTCAAAGAGTTTTTTTATAAATATATATATATATATAATTGTGTCTTTTGTACTGATAAATATACTTATATAATTCAGTAACAAAACAGCTCTATTAGCTCCAATTATATAAGAAATAATGAATTGGCAGTTATTTTAATTGAAAATCAGTACACATAATAAAAAACTCATAATAGTGCATTTTTTGCAACATTAAAAAATAATCTTGCGTGGCTGATACATTAGATGGAGTAAACTTCACATATAAAAACATGTTCTTAGTAAATTCTTAGGAAAACCTAAAAAATAAATAAAATAATTTGTAATTGCTTTTATAATTTGATAAATAAGTTAAAATAAATTTGTTGTGAACATGTATTGATGCATCGAGTTTATATGCAACACATTTTACTAATCATATAACTAATTATTAATCCTATTATTTAAATTTTACTACAGAGAAGTATGGCATTAACATGAAAAACCTTTTATGTATCAAAAAGTAATTTCAATTAAGATATATTGTAATGCGGGCCCGCGTGGAGAAGATGGATTTTTTAGTAAACAGTCGAATTGAAGTAGAATCGAACAGAGTTTATTTATTAATGATCAATTTAATCGTAATCGATTAAAATAAAATAAAATAACATTGAATATTATAATATATAATATACGAAATAGAATACAGCTTTAGTATATAGACTTAGAATTCAAGTTAGAATTAACCATATAGATTTTGAATATTATATGTAACGTCACTTTCACATATCGAACCACGACTGACTCTCTGGGATCTACAGAGGGAGTCCTTTGTCCATGGTTGCCCCAAATCATTTGGTCAGCACATTCCTGTGTTTGACGACAGTCGGACGACCATATACTCTATACTTTATAATATTATACAGTATTATTCAGGGGTTTTTAACACCCCCCCCCCCCCCCAAATGAGCAATGGAGGTCTAATGATTTCTATTGACTCAAGGGAAGTCGGATAAATAAAGTTATATAATTTCAAAGGGAATTACAATGCTTCAAAAACCAGTCATCTTTAAACCTATATTTGAAATTGAAGTTAAAGCAATGTCTTTAAGATAATAAAAGAAAAACTATTCGAAAATGTATATCGTTGTTGTTTGACAATGTTAATGAATAATAATAGTCAATTTAATTAAATAAAACCTGAAAAATCTGACTTCATAATTTGTATCAGTTAACTATGTTTCAGAAAAGTAATAGTATTTATAAATAAAACTAGCAGTCGCTCCTATTAATCGTTTTGATTAGCAGCTATTTTTGCTATTGAGAAATAACAATACTGAAATGTCTACTACTATTCCTTAACACCATTAAAATAAATTGCTGCGCTCCTTACTGTTTTATTCTGTACTGTGTCTACTGTCATGTCCATTATAATATTGAATGTAAATCCATTCGCACTAAGCTACTTTATTAATACACGTTTGTGAATCTGAGCTGGCGGCACTGACTCAAAAATTATAAATTGTAAATTATTATCCTAATACATTAACTTTATTCCAATTCTAATATGACTTATTTTATTCTTTATGGTGAAATTTTAAATTAGCAAGTTTTTGTAGAGTGAAAGAATACAGNTTAATTAGCAAGTTTTTATAGAGTGAAAGAATACAGTCGTGGAATAATGTTAAATGATAAATATAGTCACACATTAATTAATACGCTAGAGCAATAAATTGAAAAATATACGACAAATTGATAAAAAATTCATAGATTATTATCAATTAGATGGACAGCTATTTGTGAAAATGAATACTGAAGTCAATCGAGTCAAAAAGTAAGAGCGATAATTTCAAATAACCGGTCAAGCGAAGTATCATATAGATATAATACAGTTAATACACTGTATGAGAGAACGCAACTTGGCGAACAAATAGTAAGATAGAACGATCCTGTCTCATTCAATAGCTTCTTAGTTGCGTGGCCTGCAGCAAAGCAGTAATTTCATAAGCAAACTGGCAACGTTGCTTTGAGAAGTCTAAAGGAACAGAGCATTAAAAACGTTAAAAACAACACGTTGCCAGTTTGCTTATAAACTAATCTTTTATTTGAATTAGTCGCTCTAAACTCTTGTGGCTCGATTGACTACAGTAATAATTTTCTCAAATATCTGTCCATCGAATTGTTAACAATCAATGAATTTGTTGCCGTTTAATCCCTCTGGTGAAAACAGGCTGTTGAAATTTGTCTCTCAAATAACTAAAATTTGTATAAAAAGACCATCACGTTAGGTTATTTTGCTCTTAGTTATTTATCACCCATTAGTATTAGTATTGGGTCATTCCATGTGAATTCACCTAATGTATGTGCTGGTATAGTTCAGAAATTTATGAAATTTATATCATAGACTTCTTAAAGGTCATTGACAACAAAAATAATATATATATTTTTTTTTACCAGATAGCGCATTTTTTATAATTAAAAACATGAAAAACGGCCTATGTTCTAGAGCCTATAACTTCACATCCAAATAATCTATCACTGTGAAACTAGCACTGTCTTACTCATATTAAATAGTACTTCAATTTCATTCTTAATTTATAAATTTTGAATTTTTTTGAACATTGAAATTTTGATTTAAATTTATTAAATTTTGCAGTATTTTAATAACAAAATTTGAAGGTTAAAAAATTTTTTAATTAAAATTTTTTTTCTTTTCAGAAACTTTAAGTTATGTTCTTTTAACCCATATCATATTTGAATCGATTTATAATTTTTTTTGTATAGTTTTGCGGTCTTGAACACGCGT